AGGGAGAGGGAGATTTGGGGAAGGTGATGGAGATGTGGGGGAGGGTGAGGGAGATGTGGGGGAGGGTGAGGGAGATGTGGGGAAGGGAGAGGGAGATGTGGGGAAGGGAGAGGGAGATTTGGGGGAGGGTGAGGGATATTTGGGGAAGGTGAGGGAGATGTGGGGGAGGGTGAGGGAGATGTGGGGAAGGTGAGGGAGATGTGGGGAAGGTGAGGAGGATGTGGGTAGAGAGAGAGAATGTTGTGGGGTGGCAGATGGGAGAGAGTGATGGATAGAGTGAGTGACGGATAGAGAGATGGGGAAAGCATGCTGTCCGATCTCGGAAACTCACCGCTGCCAACTTGATGGGTCATCTCAACGTCACATTGAGCATTGGTCTGACAGAGTAACTCTTTATTATCTGGGTCCTGTACACACACAACAACACACTCCTGTTACAATGCAGCATGGGCACGGTGAGAGTGACCGGTCAGGGACAGTGTGGGAGTGACCGGTCAGGGACAGTGTGGGAGTGACCGGTCAGTGCAGTCTGAGAGTGACCGGTCAGTGTCAGTGCGGTCTGAGAGTGACTGGTCATGGGCAGTGCGGTCTGAGAATGACCGGTCAGTGTCAGTGTGGTCTGAGAGTGACCGGTCATGGGCAGTGCGGTCTGAGAGTGACCGCTCAGGGTCAGTGCAGTCTGTGAGTGACCAGTCAGTGTCTGTGTGAGTGACCGGTCAAGGTCAGTGCGGTCTGGGAGTGACCAGTCATGGTCAGTGCGGCCTGAGAGTGACTGGTTAGGGTCAGTGCGGCCTGAGAGTGACCGGTCAAGGTCAGTGCGGTCTGAGAGTGACCGGTCATGGTCAGTGCGGCCTGAGAGTGACCGGTCAGGGTCAGTGTGGTCTGAGAGTGACTGGTCAGGGTCAGTGTGGTCTGAGAGTGACTGCTCAGGGTCAGTGCTGTCTGAGAGTGACCGGTCAGAGTCAGTGCGGTCTGAGAGTGACCGGTCAGAGTGGATGACTCTGGTCATTGTGTGTTAATAGATGTTTTACACAGCAACATCCCACAAGCTGATTGCCCATACCTCCGGACAGGTTGCCTGGACCTGGTTCTCTGTAATCTGGGTAGCTGTGATGATGCTGAAAACATCCCCTCCCTGGAAGAGAGATGGAGAGAGGGTGAGAGGGAGAGAGAGGGGTGGGGGTGAGAGACAGACAGAGACAGAGGAGAGAGAGAGAGAGAAAGAGACAGAGAGGAGAGAGAGAAAGAGAGAAAGAAAGAGAGAGAGAAAGGGAGAGAGAGCGAGAGACAGAGTGAGAAAGAGAGAGAGACAGGGAAAGGAAGAGAGAGAGGGGGAAAGATTGAGTGTGACAGTGAAAAGGAAAATCGATGGAGAGGAGACAGCGAGACAGTGAGTGTGAGAGAGACAGTGACAGAGAAGAGTAAGACAGTCTGATGAGAAAATGCATTCATCGTAGAAAACACAAAGAGAAAAAAATCCTTCCCTCCCTTTCAGACTGCTTTCCCACTCCGTACAGCCATTCTTCAGGTCACTGCTAATGTTGTGACTGTCATTCCTGAAACTGAAACACCCCCAATATCTGTAATCTACCTAATCCCCTCCTGATATACCCCCCAACTCTGTAAAATAACTAACGCCCTCCTGATATCCCCCTCTCTGTAATCTAACTAATCCCCTCCTGATATCCCCCTCTCTGTAATCTAACTAATCCCCTCCTGATATCCCCCTCTCTGTAATATAACTAATTCCTTCCTGATTTCCCCCTCTCTGTAATCTAACTAATCCCCTCCTGATCGCAGACAGTGTCCCTCATTGATCAGGAATGGAGTGTATTGTGCAGACAGCCGATGGAAACCTCTCTGCTCCCTCAGCCTGACACAGTCTTATTGAGCCACTCGCTGAGCTGTGACTGTCAGAGAGAAAATCTCTGAATGTGAACACCTACTGCTCTGCTCTGAAGAATTGTGAGAAGGAGGTCCAAGGCTCAGTGAAATTCCACAGCAATGTGAAGGCTCTGAGTCCTTTCAGAGACTGCGTTTAACCGAGCTATTCACCTGTGGAGGAATCACATAGTCAGCCACGTCCATCACTTTCTCAATTCCGTTCGGCAACTGAGAACGGCCAAAACCTTTCACCTTGGTGATCACCGTGGACTCGATTCTCGTCTCCTTGGTCTGATAAGCTTTCTCATGGATAAATACCCAGCTAGAGATCAAACATAGAGAGAGAGAGAACAGGCATCACAGAGAGGCTGGAGGGAGCTTTACTCTGTATCTAATCCTGTGTTGTCCCTGTCCCTGGGTGGGTTTGATGGGGGAGACAGTGTAGAAGGAGTTTTACTCTGTATCTAACCCCATGCTGTCCCTGTCCCTGGGTGGGTTTGATGGGGGAGACAGTGTAGAGGGAGCTTTACTCTGTATCTAACCCCGTGCTGCCCTGTCCCTGGGAGTGTTTGATGGGGGGACAGTGTAGAGAGAGCTTTACTCTGTATCTAATCCTGTGCTGTCCCTGTCCCTGGGTGGGTTTGATGGGGGAGACAGTGTAGAAGGAGTTTTACTCTGTATCTAACCCCGTGCTGTCCCTGTCCTGGGAGGGTTTGATGGGGCAACAGTGTAGAGAAAGCTTTACTCTGTATCTAACCCCGTGCTATACGTGTCCTGGGAGGGTTTGATGGGGAGGGGGGAACAGTGTAGAGGTAGCTTTACTCTGTATCTAACCCTGTGCTTTACTCTATATCCATTGAGAAATGTCGTCATGAGGAGTTATGATTTTTGGGATTTGGGGATTTGCATGAACTGAAGCCAAAAGATCAGGAGTGGGGCCCCCTGACCTGACAGGAGGAGTTTTCTGGTCTGTGTCAGAGGGTTTAAACTGGAAAAGTAGGGTGGCTGGGAATCTGAGCAGGGGGACTGAACAGGGAGGCAAACAGACAAACAATAAAAATCAAAGAGAAGTCAAGGTCCATTATACACTGAAGCCAAGATGATTCATCAGGGTTAAATGAAAGGAACAGAATAGAAATTTATTCTCATGAGAAATACAGAGGAATATTTTAATATTTCTCTGTATTTATGTCTCATAATATGTCTCACCATAGCGCCTACATCAATGGCAGTTGGACCAGTTTTAATGCTTTTTAGCTTAATGCATTGGGCATTCACAATAAAATAGATATTCACGCAACTAAAATAGATCTAAAAAGTTCTGATATCATTGCAGTGTAGAGCTGGATGAACACACCAGGCCAGGCAGCATCAGAGGAGCAGGAAAGCTGATGTTTCGGTTCAGGACCCTTGTTCAGAAAAAAATGAAGTTTCTGAAGAAGGGTCCAGACCCGAAACGTCAGCTTTCCTGCTCCTCTGATGCTGCCTGGCCTGCTGTGTTCATCCAGCTCCACACTGTATTGTCTCAGGCTCCAGCATCGGCAGGTCTTGCAGTCTCTGCATGTCATTGCAGTTGGCTACAGGGTGGACCAAGGATGGGAACCCAACAGAATCCTGGGCCTTCACTGTTTTGGAAGGACAGAGAAATGGAGAAAGGAGGTGGGGTAGGGGAATTCGTAAAGGAGAAAATTTAATGCGTGTGTCCAGAAGGATATTGGCTCAGAACATCAGAATGTGGCAAAAGAGCTGGAAAGGCAGACTGTGACATGGATACAAGCAGTTTACAGGGAGATGTTGTTGGGTAAAGTAAATGGGCAAAATGTTAAGGAATGGAGTATAATGTGGGATAATGTGAATTTTGGAAAGACAGAAAGCTAGCACACAGGGGCAGCAGGGAATCAGGAAGGGTCATGGAATGTCAGCCCTTATTTTAAAGGGGGTTGGAGTATGAGAGAAGGGAAGTCTTACTGCAGCTGTACAAGGTGCTGGGGAGACTACATCTGGAGCACTGTGAGCAGGTTAGGTCCCCTTATTTACAGAAAGATAGCATTTCATTGGAGGCAGTTCAGAGAAGGTTCACTGGGATGATCTCCGCGATGGAGGGACTGTCTTCTGAGCAAAGGTTAAACAGATCGGGACTGCGCTCACTGGAGGTTAAAGGAATGAGAGGGGATCTCATTGAAATATATCGGATTGTTAAGGGGCTTCACAGGGTCAATGCTGAGAGGATGTTTCCCCCCCATGGGAGGATCTGGGACCAGAGGGCACAGTCTCAGAATAAAGGGGCACCAATTTAAGACCGAGATGAGGAGGAATTTCTTCTCTCACAGGGTTGGGAGTCTTTGGAACTCCTTACCACAGAGAGCTGTGGGGTGTCGGGGGCAGAGTCCTTGTGGATATTTAAGGCTGAGAGAGAGAGAGAGAGAGAGATTCTTAACCAATCGGGGAATCGAGGACAGGAAAGTGGACGTGAGGGATGTGAATTCAACGACGATCCTATGGAGTAGGGGACCAGGTTTGAGGGGCCGAATGGCCTCCTCCTGTTCCTATTTCCGATGGTTATATGAAATCTGCCTGGGCAGAAATCGGAAAACCCAAGGGGCAGGAACCACCGCTGTGAGGGGTCTCCCAGCCCCCAGGCAGTGGAGCAGGTGTAAGGGAAGGTGTTAAACAAGGAAGCAGCGAGGCATGGAATAAGAGGACCGGCAGTTAGCCTGGGTCAGTGTAATTTATATATCGATTGGATAAACTAAACCAGCATGGGGCATGTGGAGACTAGCTCCTGCAGTCTGCACGTGATGGTTATATTAGACTGATACACTGAGGAAACAGGCAGAAAACAGGCTTTTCCAGACCAACAATTGTACAATGGGAAAGGGTGCTTGAACAAGCTGTTGTGCGCAGCCCAATGGGGAAGAGTGACCATAAAATGATAGAATTCTTCATTAAAATGGAGAGTGAAAGCCAAAACTAGAGTCCAGAATCTAAATAAAGGAAACTTTGAAGGTACGAGGTGTAAATTGGCAAGGATGGATTGGGGAAGGTTATTAAATACGCAATGGTTCAACATCAAAGAATATGTGCATGGATTACAGCAATTATTCAATACTTCCTGGGGCAAAAGTAACAGAGGAATAGGCAGTCAACCATCACATGTAAAACTAAAACAGGGATAGTGTTAGATCCAAAGGGGAGATGTACAAAATTGCCAGAACAAAGCAGCAAGCCTGAGGACTGGGAGCATTTTAGAATTCAGCAAAATACTCCATCAAGAGGGGGAAAACAGAGTAAAGATAAAATTTCAAGGATCATAGAAACCTCAATAAAACTTTCTATAAATAGGTGAATGGAAAAGGATTAGTGAGGACACATCAAAGTCCTTTACAGTCAGATCTCAGGGAAATTATAGAATCATAGAGCTGTACAGTACGGAAACAGACCCTTCGGTCCAACTCATCCTTGCTGACCAGATATCCTAAATTAATTTAGTCCCATTTGCCAGCATTTGGCCCATATCCCTCAAAACCCTTCCTACTCATAGACCCATCCAGATGCCTTTTAAATGTTGTCATTTTACCAGCCTCCACCACTTCTTCTGGTAGCTCATTCCATACACGCGCCACCCTCTGTGTGAAAATGTTGTCCCTTAGGTCCCTTTTAAATCTTTCCCCTCTCACCCTAACCTATGCCCCTCTAGTTTTGGACTCCCCCACCCTCAGGAAAAGACCTTGACTATTCACCCTCTCCATGCCCCTCATGATTTTATAAGCCTCTATAACGTCACCCCTCAGCCTCTGACACTCCAGGGAAAATAGTCCCAGCCTATCCAGCCTCTCCCTATAGCTTAAACCCTCCAACCCTGGCAACATGCTTGTAAATTTTTTCTGAACCCTTTCAAGTTTCACAGCCCAGAGTACTCAGGGGAGTTGCCCTGGAAATATGGGGTTCATCAGGTTCATCAGGTTCATCAGTTTCATGTTCCAAGATGCAATGGAGACTGGAGCAGACCCTACAGGTTGAAGGGTTGCAAATGTAACCCCAAGGTTTAAAAAGGAAGAGGAAATAAAACAGATAATTACAGAGCAATTAGTTTAACATCAGTAACAGGCAAATTGCTAGACTCTGTTATGAAAGAAAAGATAACAGACCATTTGGAAAGCATGTGCACAATTGGCCAAAGACACCCTGGGTTTCTGAAAGGCAGATCACACTTATTGAATATCTGGTGTTTGTTTGGGGCGAATGTAACTACTGGAATAAATAAGGGGGAACCTGTGGATGGAGGGAATTTGGAGTTTCAAAACGTTTGTGATGATGTCCCTCATAAGAGATTACAGGGAAATGTTAAAGCACATGGGACTGGGGGTAATGTATGGATTGGGAATGGTCTGACAGACAGGAAACAGCGAGTGTGGGAATAAACGCTACAAAGGGAGAAACTGCTGGAGAAAGTCAGAATGCCTGGCAGCATCTGTGGGAAAAAAAAGGCAGAGTGAACATTTTGGGTCCTTCTTCAGAACTGATCATGGCTCAGAAAGGATGGTCCGAATGGGGTGGCGGGGGGTTAGGGTCGGGGGTGCTGGTAGTAAACGATGGAGCCCAAAGACAGAGAGAGAGCACAGTGAAGGGGCAGAGAAAGGAATGGGGAACGGTCAGCCTGGAAGAATCAATAGCTGCTAATGGGGATCATTAATGGCTGACAATGGGTGCGTGTTGTAGCAGACCATGTGATAGCAAGGCCTGGTGTGTGAGGATCAGGGTAAGGACATGGGAGAAGGTCCGTCAAGCCCTAATATTGTTGAGCTCAATATTGAGTCTGGAGGGCTGCAGGGTCCCCAAGCGGAAAATGAAGTGTTGTTCCTCGAGCTTGCCCTGGCCTTCGCTGGAACACTGCAGCAAGAGATGTTGGTCAGGGAACAGGGTGGTGCGTTACAGTGGCAGGCAACTGGGAGCTCAGGGTCTTCATCGCTTGGAATAAATGGGTGTTCTTTTTTTTCCGAGTGGCAGGTAGTGAGTGGTGGGATACAGGAGGGAGCAGTGCTAGTCCCTAACTGTTCCCTATAGTGACCTGGATAGGGGGAACCATGGACAGCATTTCCAAATCTGCTGATGACACAGCAGGATTGTGAGGAGGACGTTAGGAGGCTTCGAGATGATTCAGGCAAACTGAGTGTGTGGGCAAACACAGCACAATGTGGCTTAGTGTGTAGTGGTACACTGGGTGTGATGGTGTGTATATTCCATAATAGCACACACCCGTGGGTTACTGCTAAAACAATGCTGTGATGGAGGGAGCAGGCGTTACAGAAATGGAAGTGTGTCTGTCATGGAGTGATCAGGCGCTACTGCAATAAGAAATATGCCTGTGGTGGAGTGAGCAGGTGCTAGAACAATGAAAGCTTGCCTGCAATGGAGTGAGCAGGCTCTACAAAATGAAACTGTGACGGTGTGAGCGCATGCTAAAATCACTAAAGTGTGCCTGTGATGGAGACAGCAGGCGCTACAGCAATGAAAGTATGCCTATGATGGAGGGAGTAGGTGCTACAGCAATGAAAGTGCACCTGCGATACAATGACCAGGCACTACTGCAACAAAAATATGTCTTTGACTGAGTGAGCGGTACTACAGCAATGAAATGTGTCTGCGGTGGATGGAGCAGGCGTTACAGCAATGAAAGTGTGTCTGCGGCGGATGGAGCAGGCGCTATAGCAATGAAAGTGTGTCTGCGGCAGATGGAGCAGGCGCTACAGCAATGAAAGCATGTCTGCGGCAGATGGAACAGGCGCTACAGCAATGAAAGTGTGTCTGCGGCGGATGGAGCAGGCGCTACAGCAATGAAAGTGCACTTACCCGATGAAGTAGGTGATAATAAGAAGCTGCATCATTCGGTTAATGAGGCCCACAGTCCAGCTTTTGACAACCACTGATTTCGGAGTCTCGTAAGTGAAAAAGTCCTCGATGAAACCCATCTTCCCCCAGGGTGGGGAGTGTGTCCGAGCAGAGGGAAGGAAGGACGGAGAAGGAGAAAGGGGGAGAGAAAGTGAGAGAGAGAGAGTGAGCGAGGTGGAGACGAAGAGGTGGAGAGAGACAGAGGGACAGAGATAGAAAGAGATGCTGAGACGAGGGAAAGGGTGAGGGAGATGGTGAGAGTGGGGGAGAGTTCGAGGGGAAGAGGGAGGGAGAGAGAGAACGATGGAGAGGAAAGACAGACAGAGAGACAGCACTCGGAGATGCCTTTTGCTCTCAGCACTCGCTCCCAGAGCTGATCCGATGGAATGGGATCCCACAAATCCAATTTACGCACAAATGGACTGTGCAATTTAACAGCTTCCTCTCTGTGGGCACCAACATCTATAATTAAATAGGTTGAAAGCCTGTCTGTAATCACTCCCTCTGCCCCCCCGTTCCTTAGCCATTTCTCTGAGCTAACTACAGAGAATTCTCCTGGGGGGGTCCACCACTCTACATGCTGGAAGTGGGACTAGGGGAGATCAGGGGAATATAATACCCAAACGCTCAATCCAGCCCAGCTTCAGCACTGCAACAAGCAAAGTAAAGAGCTCACAGACCCCAGACCTAGTGGTTCCAACTACCTTCCTCCCACATCCCCCATACGCCTACCCTCAGGCTCCTCAAACACTACCCTCACACTCACTGCCTCTTTTTAAAGCAATCCCCCATCTCTCTCTCTCCCCCCCTCCCCCCTCCTCCCCCTGTCCCTCTCTCAGTCTCTTTCTCGTTCTCTCTCTCTTCCTCTGACTTTCTCCCTCTGTGTATCACTCTCTCTCTCTGTCTGTCTCTCTCCATCTCCCCCTCTTTTTCTCTCTGTGTCTCTGTCTCTTGCCCCATCTTTTTCTGTCTCTCTCTCTTGCTCCCTGTCTTCCTTTGTCTCACTCCCTCTCTCTCTGTCTCTCTCTCACTCCTCTTTCACTTTCTATCTCTCTGTCCCAGTCCTTGATTCCAAATGATTGATGCAGGTACAATTCCAATGTTGAAATAGCACTTGGACAGGTACATGGATAGGAAGGGTTTAGAGGAATGTGGGCAAATGGGATAGTTCAGATTGAGGTATCTGATCAACACAGGTTAGTTGAACTGAAGAGTCTGTTTCCATGGTATATCACTCTGACTCTATCACTCTATAAATTTCTCTCTCTGTCTCTCTCTTGCTCCCTCTCTCTCTCTCCTTCTCTCTCTGTCTTTCTGTATCAGTCTCTAGTTCTCTGTCTGTATGCCCCTATCTATCTTTCTCTCTCTGTATTTTTTACCCTCTCCCTGACTCTGTCTACAAGTCTCTCGGTCCCTCTCTCTGGCTCTCCCACTCTTTGGGTCTGTCTCTCTCTGTCTCTGTGTCTTTCCCTTTCTCTCACTCTCGCTCTCTCTCTCTCCTTCTCTCTTCTTCTTTCTATCTTGGTCTCTCTTTCTCTCTCACACTATTTGTCTGTTCTTTCTCTCTTCTCTGTCTCTGTCACTCTCTCACCTGCTTTCTGTCCCTGTCTTTCTCTCGCTCCCTTCCTCTCTCTCTCTCGCATGCTGCCTATTTCCGTCTGTCTCTGCCTTTCTCTCCATCTTTCTATCTCAGTCTTTCTGACGCTTTCACCCTATCTCTCCCTTTCTCTGTCTCTCTTTCTGTCAATCTGTCTCGATCTACCTCTTTCTGTCTCTCTCCCTCCACTGTCTCTGTCTATGTCTCTCTGTCTATGTCTGTCTCTCTCTCACTGTTTCTCTCTCTCTCTCACTCTCTCTGTCTTTCTCTTGGTGTTTCTATCTGTCTATCTTTCTCGGTGTCTCTGTCTCTCTCCTTCTCCCTCACTATGCCTGTCTCTCTGTATCTGTCTCTTTCCCTGTCAGTCTCTCCATCTATCTCGCTCTATCTCTCTCTCTGTCTCTGTCGCTGGGCAGAACACAATCAAGGTGAGGTGGTATTTAACTAAGTGTTACACATTCTGTGTGTGCAGATGCATGCCTGTGTGTGTGTATGTGTGTATGGGTGTGTGTGTGTGTGTGTGTGTGTGTGTGTGTGTGTGTGTGTGTGTG